GATTACTTGTTGCAACATAACAGAAGAACTGAATAGCCAATAGCTATGCAGTTAAATATTTGAGAAAGTCATTAAAATCACTTAAAATTTCAATCCTAAAATATCAAACCAACAGTCAATAAAATATAACCGCTCCATCAATTGCTCTCATTTGCCAGACTATAGGCAGAGATAGTATATCATTTATTTATCATTTTGTAAAGAAGGATTGATGATCCCCAATCATCAATTTCATCTTAATCATTAGAAGGTTTGAATGGATCAATAATGAATGAATTTATATAATTCATCATTGATAAATTGAATAATTTATCGATGATCAATATAAAAAAAACTTAGTAAGACCACACCTGGAATACTGCATCCAGTTTTGGTCACCACATTGCAAAAGAGATGCTGAGAATTTGGAAAAAGTGCAGGGAAGAGCAAACTAGGATGTTTAATGACCTGGAGACTAAAATATATAAAGAACGGTTGCAGGAACTGGGTATGACTTGTCTAGAAAAAGGACTGGGGTGACATGATAGCAGCATTCCAGTATTTGAGAGATTGCCACAAAGAAGAGGGGGACAATTTATTTTCCAAAGCACCAGAAGGCAAGACAAAAAACAATGGATGGAAACTAAAGAAGGAAGTTGAAGGTGCTTTATCACTTGAGGTTTTTAAGAAGAGATTGGACAGCCATTTATCTGAAATGGTATAGGGTCTCCCCCAAGGTCCCTTCCAACTCTATTCTGATTAATTCAAAGTAACCTATTTTTCTACTCTAAATCATATAGCATCTATAACCAAATGTATGTGCATGCAGGTATTCATATATTAATATGTACATAGTATATGATATTTCATTTTTATTGCCTTTTCAACCAGATAGTTCCCAATAAAATAAAACAGCAGTAAAAATGATGCAAGAACAGAACAAAATTTCAGCAAATACACATTCATTTGGTTAAGGACTAAGAGTCTGGCTGGGAGGTTCTGGGAATTGAAATCCACATATCTTTCAAGATTGGGAAACATTGTTTTAGATGGTTTAGCATCTTGTTTTTTATTCTCCTTGTGAATCTTCACCGCTCAGTGGTAATATTAAATATATTCTATTTATTTTTGTCCTTGCCCAACTGAACTTTTGGGAATGCTGACTTTGGCATAGTATTAAAGGACAAGCAAGGCTTCCAAACAAGTAAAAATTATGTGATCCATTTCCATAGCTTGCTTGCATTCTGCAGAGTAGACATTTGCTATATTTTTCTTTCTTTTGCTCCCAATTTATTGCTTGGATGGCTAGAGAATCCCTTCACCTTTCCTTTTCACATAATTGAGAAAGTAATGTGGAAAAAAAATTCTGCAGAAATTCTGTTTCTTCCTCTGCAGTTTGAATGTTTCCATATTTTTGCTACTTCTCTTGATGAGCTCTATTTAGAGACTCTTCAGTGCAGCTTTGCTTTCAACTTTGTAAAAAGTCTTCCTTTTTAATTAGCAGCTCACAAATATAGCTGTTGTTAGAAAAGGGAGAGAACATCATAAGGGAACTGACAGAACGAGGTGAAAACAGCTTCCACATCTTAGACACTGAGCTTAATTTTGTGCATCTGGTAAGAAAAAATTGTTGCCATCCAGAAGGTGTATAATAATTAATTGCTACAATTTGTCAGGAATTTAAGGTATGTGATATATGGGAGGCTGTTTGTTGTCATATGTCATTTCCTTCTTGGCACCATAAAAATAAAACAGCTTTTTAAAGCATAAGGTATTTTGAAATGCCCATTCTGCAGCGAACTACTTTAATTGCTTTAAAATGGTGTGTCTTTGTTTTCTTCACTTTCACTTTATTCTATGTATTTCCCTTTGGAAGAGGTGTCACATTTGTAGCTTTTGCAGGATAAATGTTGGGAAAAATATTGTTTTAGAAATACTTTCCATGAGAAGTTTTGTGTCCTTAACATCCCACTTCCTTTATTAGTCAATTTACCTATCACATTTTATCCCCTGCTGGGAAACCCTTACAGGATTTGAATGAATTTTGTTTCAAAGTCTTATGCTCTTTGGGACAGCCTTTCATTTGTTATTCAGATGCAAATCTGTCCTTAGACAGGGAATTGTTTACGGGATGTCTGCACTCATCATTCTGCCAGCTTTAATGGCTACATTGCCCAAAATGGGAATTCCTGAACTCTTAAGGAAGCATGGAGTCAGGACAAGAAGGATATTATTCAGAACATGAGTCCTTCTTGTTCTGACTTCCCAATCCCTTTCCCAATTCAGAGTTGAATTTAGATTTGCATATTTAGAGGGAGAGAGGGGGGAGAGAGAATCAGGAAGTGGATGAAATAATTCAAAGAGGTTTTCTTCTAAATTCTTTACAATTTAGAATCCTCTCATATCAGTTCATCCTGACCATTACAGTATAGTAATGAGTCTTAATGAACAGAAAGTGGAATGAAACAATATCTTGGAAAAAAGAAGAGATTGCTGTAAATGAGGATAATACCCAGGAAATTTAATTCAGGGGACTGCAACTATGGGATAAAACAGTTGTTACCCTTGATGCATTGGAGAGAGAGTGGGGAGAAGAAGTAACGATATAAACTGGATGTGAAATTATCATTCTGTGTTCCTTTGTCTGGAAGTTTACATCCTTTGCCTGCTAAATCTAGTTCTTCAAGGTCTAAATCAAATATAATAATGGTATTTTATAATGTGTGAACAAGAGACAATTTCAATAATCTTGGTTATAAACACACTCAAGAGCACTGCAGAACTGCATGTGGTCTGCAGGGTACAGATTGCATACACTTGCCGTAAAATTTGGCTCCACATCCTCTTAATCAAGAGCCTTCACTTATCTGAAACAGTGAAGCCAAAGCTAAGGAAAGCATTGAAGAAAGTTAATTTGAAAAGCAACATTGTACTGGATATTATTATTTTTGTCCAGATTGCATTTGTTTCCCGTTCTTTCTGTATGAGAGCAAATATTTGTGATTTTTCAGTCCATTTGTATTGACTGTTGCACACTTATAAAGTTATAAGAAGGAAATTAGGCTGTCAAGAAGGAAACTAGGCCATCAAAGAACAGAGTGGCTGGACACTATCAAAGCTGACACCAACTACAGCTTAGACAAGGAAATATTTATTTATTTATTTATTTGTTTAAATTTCTATACCGCCCTTCTCCAATGTAGGACTCAGGGCGGTGAACAGCCAAAGTAAAAACAAGACATATATACAAAACATACAAAATCTAAAATCTGTTTAAAATAATTAAATAATTTTGGCCGTAATTAAAACATTCCAATTTAAATAATGCAAGATTAGAAGATGTGGAGAGACCTGATCCATAGAATCATCAAGAGTGGAATCAACAGAATGGATAACAACATCATCATAGAAGTTACAAGATGAAGATGCAATCCCATGCTAGTTAAGGAACTCTGGAAAATGAAGTCCACACACCTTCAAGCTGCCAAGATTGAGAAACACTGTATTATACTAGAATAAGAAAAAGATAATAGGCTAATTTATACTGCATACATACAAAGGAGAGCATCCCTTCACCCCTTCCCCTTTCCTCCGCTCCGCTCCACTCCCCTCCCCCACCACCCCTCCCCTCCCCCTTCCCTGTAATAGATTAAGAAGTCCAGAAATTCAACAAAATTCAATTCTAATAAAGTAGTGATATATGTTGCTCATGACATTTGAATAATATCTGGAAACATGCTGAAAGTTATATAGGTCATGGATGGATGGCAAATCTCTTAATGACATTAGAGCAAGTAAACCAATATAAACAGAGACTCACAAACTCTGCAATATTTGTAGATTTTAATACCAGAAAGTTGCTCAAGCATTGAAAGGATGAAAATATCAGAAAGTAGCTCAAGCATTGAAAGGATGAAAAACTAAATCAGAAGATTAAAAAAAAATGCATGTGAAATTGAATGACTCTAAAAACCATTGAACTAAAGTAGGTCCATCAGCTCTTTGAGGTAGCCAAGACAGGAAACATATTTGAATATAAATGGAACTGTATTTTATTGATATAGGTTACAATAATAGAACCTTGAAAAGTTTTCATATTTTCCTTCATCCCATTTCATCAAAAAGAATTCAGGGGAATTCACTACACATTTCTAATGTTTTCTTCTATTCCCAGACTTAACTCATGTTTTGATAACTGGTGCATTATTTCTTCAAACTCATCTCTTTTAACTAACTATTACCGGTAGTAGATACATAAATCCACATTTTCCAGATATCAACAGTGAGACTTAAATCTATATTATTATGCCTTGGTTTGAGATCAAAACACAGCATATTTGTAACACATAACAGTTGGATGAGTGCATGCCTAAAAGATGTAAAAGTTTTAGATGTTTAAAAACATATTGCAGGATCACAAACTTGCATTCATAGGCTGGCTGTAGTCCCATTTTCTCCCTCTGGGGAAGTGAACACTCTTTCTCTGCCACTCCCATAAGGATTTGTCTGCTTTCAGTAAAACAGTAGGTGGAAATAACAGCATTCATTACACATCATCCAAGTATTTAGAAGAAGAAAGAATGGAAACCTGACAATTTCCCCTAAAAATCAACATACATTTTTATTCAACATTATTTTATTTCTCTGTCCTCTTTATTATCTTGTAAAAAGTTTTAAAACTTCAGCCAGTAGATGTCTCTGTTTTCCTGGTCTCTGATTATCTATACCTGGTTTCTTAATTAATTAATTCATTAATGTCATCTTTAAGCATATAGAAAGAGCACTAATCCCAATCACTGTTTTCTGGGACATCAGTGTATGAAAAATTAATTTAGGATTCTGCCTCCATTCTTTTTATGCCTTATTACTCAAGCCTAAAACTGGGCGGGTAATAGGATTCTTCACCCATTCTCCTTGCTGCCAATTCTCTCCACGTCTTTCCTGTACACATCTCAAACAGTTCCAAGCCAAACCGCCGATATTCTTTCTAAGGCAGCCTCTGCAAGGTGACATGAAGCCCCTGTTTCTCCCTTCCTCCTCCCAGAGATTCAGCACTGGACAGCTCCCTTCTGCTCACCTAGTGGCTGCCTCGTGATTGACAGCTGAGGCGGCCATAGAGCGCTCAAGGCATTCGGAGCTCACCTATAAGGGCGAGTTGCGGAAGGGAGGGGAGGTAAGAAGGGGTTGGCCATGTGGGGCAGAGCTGTCTAGTTAACAGGCGAGGAAGGAGGGGGAGTTGAGGCTGAGCTGGGAAAGCCCGGCGCTCCGGCCAGCGGGCATCTGCCCCCGAAAAACATCCCCTCCTAGAAGTCCCGCACGGCCCTGCCACTCTCGCTCCATCCCTCTCCTTCTCGGCTGCCCGGTGCACGAACCGCAGATCTCTCCTGTCCCCTTAGGGAGCGATGCCCGGAGACGGCGAGAGCCAGTCTGGATGCTTCGCGCGGCTGGGTAGCGAAGCGGGAGGACGCGCCGCTTGATCGAGAATGGAGCAGCGGCGGCAGCAGCGAGAGGAGGACCGCGAAGCAGGTCTTTAGAATACCTTCTGAGAGCGTTGTCAGCGGCGGATGGGGGATAGAAAGACACAAGCGGGCCAACGGTAGCTTCTCCCTGTAGCCAGGCGCGATGTAACCTGGTCTCTGAGCCAAGCGCCGCCTGCATAATTGCCAGAACTTGCCCCACCAGAGAAAGCTCGCTGGACCGTTTCTACAGGTGATTCAGATTATTTTCCCCCTCCATATCTCCTCCCCCCCCCAATCCCCAAGTTCACTTGGAGCATCCTGCTGCACGAATTTTGCTGTCTTGTCTTTTTGCCAATGCTGTTGAAGTAGTCACATTCTTAAAACAAATTGGAAGTTGGGAACTTGAGGCAAGACGTTTTCCTTAGCTGAGTGGAAAAGATGGATTTGCTGTGGCTTCTTCCCATCTTACTCCTTGCTCACTTGGGGTATGTGATTGATGCCAACCAAGGACCAATGGAGCCTGGTAAAGGGAAAGCAATGAAGGAGAAGCCATCTGTTTATAATCATGGCAAGAAGGCAAGTGTTGCTTTCTCTCCTTGGAGCAGATCGAGGGAAGAAAACCTAGTCTTGGCCCAGAGATTATCCCAGGAGATCCCTCAAAATGTGGCTTCATTCCTGTATACTGGTGATTCTTGGGAACTGAAGCAGGCCAACTGCTCTGGGCGCTATGAGCTGACTAGCTTGGCTGGAAAGTCTCGCTTGGCCTCACACCCCTCACTGCACGGAGCTCTGGATACTCTCCTCCATGCAATCAACTTTCTCAACATGATACTGCAGAGCAATAAATCCCGTGAACAGAACTTGCAGGAAGACATTGAATGGTACCAAGTTTTGATCCGAAGCCTGATGGAAGGAGATCCCAACATCTCCAGGGCTGCCATCACCTTCAGCCTAGAGCCCATGTCCTCTGTCCCTCAGATCTTTCTCCAAGCCAGTCGGCAGAATAGCCAGATCCTGCTGCAGGACTTATCTTCAGTGGCTCATCAGTTGGCCAATGTGTCTAGTGAAACTGAGTGGTTCCATAGTCTGAAACGCAAGTGGAGGCCACATCAACATCGAAAGGTCTCAAATCCTGGCTCTAAGGCCCAGGAAGGCAACTTGAAAAAAAGAAATGGTCATCACCCTGCAGAGAAAAGTCATATCAAGTTGTCCTCCCCATACCTGGAGTGTGAAGATGGAAATTACAAGCCTACCTGGCTAGTCACATTGTCTGCTGCTTTTTATGGGTTGCAGCCAAATCTCCCTCCTGAATTCAGGTAGGAGTTATAAATTTTATTAGAATATTGATCTTTAAAAGTACATCTGAATTAGCAGATCTTCACAGGATTAATTTAGTGAACAGAAATAGAAAATAGAAAATACGAACAAACAGATGCCTATCTTCCTTAGTCTTAGTGTGTATATGATATTATTTTAGCAATCTGTAGTGCAATCCTACACATACATGGCAAGGTATAAATTCCATGAAACTAGTAGAATTTTTTCTTAGGCATAGATATATTTGTAATATATATTTGTAATATACAAATTGGACTTCGTAATGCATTTTTTTTTTAAAAGGCTTCCTTTAAAACTTCCCAGTTTGAAGTTAGCAGCACACTCCTCAAGGGATAAAAGTCCTTGGGTATTTTTTCCATGGATTCTGATGTGGGATTACTATGGCAGAGAAAAGCCCATATAACCAGGCATGGAAAGCTTAAGAAAAATTGAAGCAGAAGTATATGATTCCTCAAGATAGGTTGAAATTGCAGTCAGTGTGCAATCAGCAGCTGAATTCTCTTGCTGTAAGTAGAAGTAAAATGCCAGAGTTGTGCTCTAGCTAAGTTTATTGGGGCTAAATTCCATAAACTGTAAAACTTGCTGAAGTTAATCCAGGCTGGCCTGAGTCACTAGTTACAATAAGATGATACTCAGTATAGTTTGCTAAAGTAAGTCTCACATTGTTTACAGGGTTTGTTCTATAATAGGGATGGGAAATTTGTGGTCTCCCAAAGTTGTCCCACAGCAATTTCGAAAAAGCCCAAACAGCATAACCCATAATGTGGGATTTTGGGAATTGTAGATCAGCCTTACTTGGAGATCTCAAAGATCCAATATTGTAATCACAGTAATAGTTAATTTATTCTGGATTAGGGCATCAACAGTAAAAGCTTTTGCACAGTCTTACACAGTTTAAACTAACTCGCCTCCCCCAATTTGTAATCTTGGTATTTACATTTTCAAATATCTGTTTATGGGGCCCATAAAAATATCCAGCAGCAAAAAATGTATTGGTATAGGTATATATTATATATATTTAGGCAAAATGATTAACTTGGTTACTGAACTAATTCATTTTTGGGCTTGCATAATACAGGGACCATAAATTAACCACATGACCTGATTGAATATATTGTGTGAAAACACCTATGATATTGAGCTGCAAACAACAGGCTTTCTCAAGTCTGGCCATTCCCTAGCTTTCAATTGGTCAAGCATTTCAACTAGAAAAGGAAACAATTCTTCCTGTTTATAGAAAGCTGTTTAGGAACACAAGCATAGCCTTACATCTCAGATTCAGCTGCGAGGTACCTCTAAGTATTCTAATCTTTCAGCTCCTTCAGGCCTTCTGCTGGTTTCTGCCCTTTTTCCTTCATTGTTGCAGATGCTCAGAGATTTTGCCTGGACTGTGGATGTATATGTATATGTATACACATACACGCACACGCACACACACACACACACACACACACACAAACAAACAAACAAACAAACACACACATTATTTGTAGAGGCTTTCCTCCAGAAGTATGTTGCTTTGGTAAAGAGTGAAGCATTATGTTTGTTTATGTAGTATATAGTCAATAATATTTACACAAACCTATGATGATGTCCTGCATATTTGCTCAGGCCTATTAAAATAGAAGCCTCTTTAAAGAAAAGCTTTAAACAGAATTTTTTAAGATTCCAGAGAGGTTGAGAAGCACCATGCACACTCTGTAGTACTTTTACTCCAGTCTCATAATAAAGTCACCCAAGTAACTTTCAAAGATTTCATGTGGGTTATTTGGGAGAAGCCTATTTTTATGAAAGGCTGCGAATTATACAATTGTGGAATTTCAAAGGAGATATAGGGCCTATGTCCTATCTTCTACACCATGCAAGAATCCAGATTAAAGCACCCTTGTAACTCCTTCCTTCCTTCCTTCCTTCCTTCCTTCCTTCCTTCCTTCCTTCCTTCCTCCCTCCCTCCCTCCCTCCCTCCCTCCCTCCCTCCCTCCCTCTCTTTTCTTCTCAGATGCATTGAGGCTTTCTTTGGCTTCTTGCTATTTTTGTCAATAAGTCATAACCTGGGAAGCATCACCATCAGAGATCCTTCAATTTGAATTAGAAGATAAATACATCCAACTGCAAAGCTAAATTTTGCTGAATCTTTCTGAATGTCAAATAAATTTTACCATTATGAAGGGAGTGGGTCGATTACTGCTCAATCATTATTTCGCTAGATACTCCACTTCTGATATCTCTTTGCATGGGTATATCCTGATTAAATTCTAACATGTGCTGTGGAATTCCATGGATGTTTCTGTTTTGATATAACTATTACTACTAATAATAATTTCATTCTTAAAATAACAATAATGGCTGTGGTGGTTTGAATAGTAATCCAGCTTTATAAACTTTGTTAATGCAATATGTGCAGACCAACTGCCCAGTAGAGGTCATTGTGGTAACAACTGCAAAATATTTTCTAGTTACAAAGTTCAATCTTTGCCACAAAACAGTTAATCAACACATTGTTTCTTTCTCTTAACTCAGATATGTCATCTGAAAAAAATAGCTGAGAAATTTTAACACTGTTCTTGTTTTTTTGGAGGGATACTCTTTAGGAATGCTAGCATATGCATGAGCTATGTTTGCAGAGTTTTTCTAATTTGAGAAACATTTTTTCTTAATTTTGCAGCAATGTTGCAAACATTTTTCTTTTCACAACCACTCACATTAACAGTAGTTTGCAATGGTAGGAAAGATCATCAACAATTTTATAATGCAACTGAAATTATGAGGACAATTAAAGATGATGCTTCATTTTTGGATTTTTGGAAACTACTGATGGCACACAAATGCAATCAATAAAAAAATATGGGATTTTGGGACCATGTCATGGGTACTTTCCTAAAATGTTGGCAGGCAGGACTTGCCCATTCACAGTCTGGTTGATCTGAACAACAAATAGTTCAGTAGAATATTACTCGATGCCCCATTGCTCTTTGCAATTCTTATCTCTGCAGTTCTTATCTTCTCCCCATGGGACCTTTTTGGTTCCAGAAGAATTCCTGGAAATAAAAATAACATTGGATATGGTGGCACTTTGTCTTCTAACAAATGGTCTTCCCATTCAAAAACTATTTCTTTAAAATCAGCAATTTGGCCTTGCAGGAACCTAACTGTAACTATTTCTTCAGACTATTTCTTTAAAATGCAATGTATCAAGTAAGGCAGGGAACCTGATAAGTGTGAAAGGGCAGACTCATTAGCACCCCAAGATTCACATTGTAGTTTTCTACAAATAGACAAGTCACTGGAGAATTGCAGTTTGTCTTCTGTTTTCATTTCTTTCAGAATAACTTCTGCAGAAATGGTTACAGTTAGGTTCGTGCAGGGCCAAATTGCTGATTTTATTTATTTATTTGTTATGTTTACATAGCTGCCTATCTCATAAACAAGTGGTTCTGTGTGGCATATAACTCAGCTAAAACAATATATTCAAATAAGTATTAATACTTTATTATTATTAAAAACTTTTAAACTTGTCAAAGGCCCAAAACTAAAAATTAAAAAAAAAACATTAGGCAAAGAGTAGATATTAGTTACAATGGGGCCATCTTAATATTTCATCAGTTCCTTGAAGCCTTGATACCTAACAACATACACAGGTCTTAAGCGAATTCCAGAAAGATAAAAGGGACGAAGTCAATCTCACTTCAAGGGGAAAAGTGTTCCATAAAGTAGAAGCAGAAAAGGCCTTCTGCCAAATGAAACCCCTAACTGATGGGACACTTAGCTTGCCCTCTCTGCTGAATCTCTTCTGAATTATCTCTGCTGGGTTATATTAGTCTACAGAGATTACACTTGACTTGAAAACTGAAATTCTTACTTTTTATCCACGATTCTCAGAAGGATTTATTTGTTCCCTTCAGAGTCACTAGCCAATGGAGCTGTCCAGGGAGGGAGGGGAAGCAAACTTGATGTCTTTCCTTGCTTCTCTTTCTTTCTTGCTAGTGGAGATGATACACATAAAGCTCTAAATTAGGCCATTATATATTTATGAAATGTGAAGCAGAGATAGCCATGCTTCAGATAAATCCTGGAAATCTTATTAATCTGGCTTTAAGATGGTATAAATGGTATGTGGAGAAGACCTTAGGGGATGGGGAGAAAAGATGCTATCTAGAGAACAGTCAGATAAAAGAGACCATAGCCCATAGCTGGGTACTAGGCAGGGCAAGAAGCTCAAAGGAGACCCTCCTTAATTTCTCAGGAAATTTATTCTTTCAGATTGCAAGACATTTGTACCGTAGTTTTAGAATAAAGTAAGAATATCCGTTTCTTAGCTTATATTGCTGACCTGCCTGGTAAGAATGATAGATTGGAACAGCATCTCCAAATCAAGCTTAATTCATAGAATTACCTAGAGAAGTCCACATCAGTTTTTAAACAATCATAGGGATTGTCTTCCCAATCTATCCCATACCTTTGGATTTCTAATGGTCTCCCATCTAAATATGAAACTTGGTTCAGCTTCTGTTCATATAATTTTCTTGGCAAAAGGACCTAGATTGTTGGGGACAATACACTGACTTTGTAAACTGCTTAGAGAGGGCTGTAAAGCACTGTGAAGTGGTATATAAGTGCTATTAAGTGCTATTAAAAACTCTGATTATTATTACTCTCTGACTCCCTGGTGGACTCTCATCAAAGAACCAAATAAGTTGAATATGTTTAGGGTTTTTTTAAAATCCATCATGTTAAGTTTGTTACACTTGTTTAGACCAATCTTGTTCTACCTGATCTTAAATAAGTGAGTAAATATGTTTAAAGAAAAATGGTGAGTATCCTGCATTGCTGTTGTATAGATACCCTAGAAAGAATTTTGGAAATGTTCTGTCTGTTCCTAGCAACCTCATTTTTTTTAAATTTGAGCCAGGGTTGGCATTACTATTAAGCAGGAAGATATATTAGGTCTATAAATGACCGATATACCATTTTATTCTTT